GAACCCGCGGGCTCAGGCAATCCACTCACCTCAGCCTCCCAAAGTGCTGGGATTACAGGCTGAGCCACCGAGCCCAGCTATTTTTAAATTTTTAAAAGTTATTTTATTTTATTTTTTATTTTCACCCTGTTGCCCAGGCTGGAGTGCAGTGGCACACTCATGGCCACCTCAACTTCTACCTCCTGGGCTCAGGTGATCCTTCCTCCTCTTCCTTCCACGTAGCTGGAACTGCAGGTGTGTGCCATCACACCTGACTAATTTTTTGATTTATTGTAGAGATGAGGTCTCACCAATTTGCCTAGGTTGTTCTCGAACCTGTGGGCTCAGGCAGTTCTCTTGCCTCTGCCTCCCAAAGTGGTAAGATTTCAGGTGTGAACCACTGTGCCGAGCCCTATTTTATTAAAGTCCAGTTTGATGTTTCCTTCTTTTCTGATTAATGATCTTTGTATCCTCTTTAAGGAATCTTTGCCTACCAAAATTACAAAGATGTTTTCCTATGTTTTCTTCTAGAAGCTTTTTGGTTTTACCTTTTATTTTTAGATCTGTGATTCATTTTGAATTGATTTTGTGTATGATGTAAGGTGTGGGTTGAGGAATTATCAACCACGTGGTTTTAGGATATTAAAATGCTACCATTATCAAGGCATTGTGGTACTGGCATATAGACAAACAGATTAACAAATAGATCAGTGAAATGGAAGATAGTCCAGAAACAACCAGTTGTAAAGTTAGTGGATTTTAGAGGATACATGGTCAGGCACAGTGGCTCTTCCCTATATCCCAGCACTTTGAGAGGATCACTTGAGGTTAGGAGTTCAATGCCAGCCCCCATCTCTACAAAAATAAAAATAAAAAATTAGTCGGGTATGGTGGCATACACCTATAGTCCTAACTGCTCTGGAGGCTGAGGAGGGAGGATCACGGAGCCCAGGAGATGAAGGCAACCTGGACAACAGAGTGCAAACCTGTGTCAAAAAATAACAAAAGAAAAAAGAAAGTACCAAATTATTGTGATTAAAAACAAGTTTTGTGTTTTTGAGTTCAGAGTCTCACTCTTGCCTAGGCTGGAGTTTAGTGGCATAATCATGGCTTATCATAGCCTTGACCTCCTGGACTCAGGGAATCCTTCTGCCTTAGCCTCCCAAAGTGCTGGGATTACAGGCATGAGCCACCACACCCAGCCAGAAACAGGTTTTTTGTTGTTGTTTTTTTATATGACTTTCTCCTTCTAATAGCATTGAGCTCTTTTTTTTTTTGAGTTGCAGTCTCACTGTGTCGCCCAGGCTGAAGTGCAGTGGCACTCCCACAGCCACCATAGCCTTGACCTGCTGGGCTTAGGTGATCCTTCTGCCTCAGCCTTCCAAGTAGCTGGAACTACAGGTGTGCACCACCAAGCCTGGCTGATTTTTTTATTTATTGTAGAGTCTTGCAAAGTTGCCCAGGCTGGTCTCGAACCCAAGGTTCAGACAATCCTCTCACCTCAGTCTCCCAAAGAGCTGGGATTATAGGCGTGAGCCACTGTGCCCATCCAAGCTCTTTTTATTTTCATTTTATTTTTGTGATTTATTTATTTTATTTTAGGGTTGTAGGGGACATGTGAGAATTTACTACATAAGAAAGTTGTGTGCAGAAAAGGTCTGGACTTCTAGTGGGTCCTCTCTCCCCGTGGCATATCTGGTACCCAATGTGCCTTCCATCCCTCTGATACGGATTTTTAGCCTGGGTTCCAAGAGTGTCAGCTCATTTGGTTGGCACACCTGACCTCAAAAGAGTGTTGTCTCTAATGGGCTGGCAAGAAACAGGTTTTTTTTTTTGAGTTGGAGTCTCACTCTGTCGCCCAGACTGGAGTGCAGTGGCCGCTCCCGG